TGAGCTCCACATCCATGCCAGCCAAGGGGGCTCAAGCCAGATATCCATCGGATCAGCTGGATCAGCCGAGGTGGGGGTTCTTCCTCACATCCATGGCCCTTCTTCCCCCCAGCTCCAAACTAGAGGATCTAGACATCAGACCAGGAAGGGGAGAGGGAAAGACTAGAAATAGAGAAGATGCCACCTATGTCCCCAGCCTTCTACAGGCGTCCAGCCTCAAGCCGCACTGGGCAGAAGAAGAAGAGATGCTCAGCTTCGAATGAAGTCCTGGGGCTTTTATTGAAACAGGCAATATGTTTTCCTCATTAAATGAGAGTGGGATGGTCGTTGAAAGTCACTAGAGAACTTTTTTTTTCTACAAGTGACATCAGATGTTTTGGAAACTGCCCAAACCTTCATCCAAGGCTGAGGAAAGACGGCATAGGCTAGAAGTGACAGGTTTGTATCCTGCTCACTCTGCTCAGAGACTGGTGATGCTGACCCAGTAGACATCTGTGGTTGGCCAACTCAGAGGCCCTCGCCCTACTTTTGGTCAGAGTGCCTGTCAATCACTAGCACAGCTAACAGAATACCCAGTGGAAGTGGGAATGGGAGCCTGGTAAGGTGGTTGCCCCAAAATCCTGCAGTAAGGTCCAGGGGACCACGTTTCTGGATGATGGGCTGCTTGGTTCTTCCTTCAGTTTGATCTATGAGCCAGTATCCTTCTGTTAAGTTCCTTTCTGCTTAACATTTGTGTTAGTCAGCTTTTCATTCCTGTGACCAAACTACCTGACAAGAACAACTTAGAGAAGGAGAAGTTCATTTTAGGCTCRTGATTTCATAGGTCTCTGTCCCTGGACAGCCAAGTCCATTGCTCTGGGCCTAAAGTGAAGCAGAGGGTATATTGGAGGAAAGCTTCTCCGTTTATGGTAGCCAGGAGGCAGAGAGAGCAGACCCAAGGGCACACCCCCAGGGATCTACTTCCTCCAGCCATGACCTACACAAACAGTGACTACCCAGTTAGTTCATTCAAATAATGAATCCACTGATGAGGTCATAACTCTCATAATCTAATCATTTTTACTTCTGAACATTCCTGCCTTGTCCAACACATGAGCTTCGGGGGAAACACCTTATATTCAAACCATGACACCATTAAGTCTCAAGTTTTTGATTCTGTGACTGTTTCAATGAAATTGACACAGGTACCGGTGGTGCACACCTGTAATACCAGCAGCTCAGGAGTCTGAGGCTGGAGGATCATAGTTTCAAAGCCAGCCTCAGCAATTGAGCAAGGCTGTAAGCAATCTAGTAAGACCGTGTCTCAAAAATACATATATATCTTTATATATATGGGACTGCGGATGTGGGCTCAGTGGTTAAGTACACTTGTGTTCAATCCCTGATACAAAAAAAAAAAAAACTAGTTTGTAAATCATAATCTTGACTTTATATATAATCTTTTATACATTTCTTCACATTCAAATACATATTATATATTTTATATATTTTTTCAAAAGCTCTAATTATTCATCTATTACTTTTCTCAAAAGAATCGACCTCTAAGAACATATTATTTCAATGTTACCACAGTAACTTTGTTAACTTATYTAAGTTTTATAGGTGTTCCACATCTGGGATGATGGGAGAAAATGGTTAAATGGGTTTGCGTGTTGCTTGTCCCCCACAGTCCTCATGGGTGTGCCCGCGTTGTCCATGAAACAGACTGTGGCAAAACATCATGGTGAGCATTTCCATGCTCTGGTCCTAGCCTCCCACCTGTGTACTGGGCTTCACTGACGACCCATGGCCAGTGACTAAGCCCTTTCTTCAACCAGCACATTTTTAAAAAGGAATTTGAAAACCCCTAGGCAAGCTAAGCCCTCCGCAAGCCTCACCACCCGCTACCATCTCACACCTAGTGGTCTGACCCTTAAGTTGCCTGCTTGGCTCACAGGTCCTTGTTCTGATCCTCCTTTCCTTCCTCCTATCTCTGAGTTTGTCCTCTGCTTTGCCTTCTCAGCTGCAGAGGCTAGCTGAGCCTGGCAGGTCACCCAAATCCTAGCMCAGTACTTGTATTTTGGAGCATTAAATCAATCATTCCTAACAACTATTCAAAGGTACCCAGTTCTACGAACAGTAATGAAAAAAAAAATTAACTATGAGATTATTGATCAATCAAGACTTTTGTTTCTGCAGATGATTTTATTACGGAAATGTTCACACATATGTAAAGCAGAGAGAATAATGTCATGAACTCTCGAGTACCCACCACCAGCTCCAACAACTAGCAACATCTGCCCCATTTGATTCCTCTCTTCCTCCCTGGGCCTCCGACACTTTCCCACACACTCATCAGCCATGCCCACAGCAAGCTAGGTTATTTTTAAGCAAATTCAAGATGCTATAACATTTCATCCATAAACATTTACATCTATAAAGATAGCACCAAGAGATAAGATCTCTTTTTTCAAAACATAACTACCATTATCACAACAAAAATAACAGTAATTCCTTAATATCATCACACACAAACAGTATTCAGATTTCCCCAATTCATGCCCCCTTTTTCTCTCTCCATGGATTTGTTTGGCTCTTTTCTTGTAATTATCTTTTAAAAATCTCTTTACAAGTTGTTTACTTGAATCTGATTCAAGTTAACACCAGTATTGCTCTTGGTTGATAAATCTCATAAATTTCTCTTTTTCTATAACAGTTCCTCCTTCCCTTTTTTTTTTTTTTAAACACTTATTTGTTGAAAAACTTGGGTGTGTTTTGGTTGACAGAGCTGTGGCTGTTGTTGCTGCCCAGCACCAAAAAAAAAAAAAAAATCTCACCACTTACCACTAGGCCAGAAAAAGATCCAGACTCAAAACCAGAAATCCAGTTTCTAGTGAAGGCCCATCACTTTCACATCATGGTAAAGTCAAAGAATTGTAGGTCGAACCTTCGTAAATCAGAAACTGTAGTCTGGATTTTGTTGATTGCATTCCTTATAGTTTTGGCATGTCCCTCTCTACCCTCTATGCACATATACTGACAGTAGATTTAGAGATGTTTCCCATTCAATTCCAATTTCTTCATGAGGCACCCTGACATCAGAGGCTCCTAATATCTGCTGTGTCTCCTTTTGTACTTTGATGTTGGGCGGGGGGGCAGTGAGGTCACCCTCTGTCCTGCACTTCACTATTCACTCTCTTAACTTCAGGCAGGACCACGATTCCCTAGAGGGTTGCACGGTGTGCACAGCCAATAAGAGGATGCTTAGTAAATTCTCAATATCTTTTAAATCTCARTCTCAAACAGAATATAATTTCATCTCGTTTTTAAAAGTTTATATATATGCTGCTACCTCAAAGTAATTCAACACTTGGCTGATTATAGGACACGATTTCATATTTAACTCTACCTATTTTTATAGCATTCATGTTTAAGCTAGTCTATCATCACACAGAGATTTCAACGTTATCATATACTTTATAAAAATAGCATGTGAAAAGGATATTATTTCCATTTTTTGAAGGGTTATTTTGTAGAATAGGGAAAAGATGCATGGTATATATTAGATAAATTTTTTATAAGGATTATGTAAAAAGAAACAGCATGGAATTGAGAATAAGATGTTTCAGGCATGACAGCAAGAACAGAACATTATAAAATCATGTGTTTTGTGTTTTTTTTTCCCATTAGCAACCAGGAAACAGCATAAAAAGCAACAAAACTTAGCACAACGAATATTCCTGAGAGCCAAGGCTTCCCATTAGAGCCTCAAATAAGCACCAACAGCTGGATCTCATTTCCAGTTTGAATATTTAAAATGACACACAAACATAAAAATGCTATTATAGACTTATTTCTCCTTGAAATAAAAATATTCTAATGTTACACTGGTTCCCATGATGACTGACTTATTTCTCTCAACTTAGGTGCTGTAGTGGGGATCTGGCCTGCTGGAATGTCCCCCAAAGGCCATGTGTCAAAGGCTTGGTCCCTAGCTTGGTGCTCTCTGGAGCCGGTGTGATCTTTAAGAGGTGGGGCCTGATGGAAGGTCCTTAGGTCACTGGGAGAAAGCCCTCAAAGGGGATTGTGGATATAAGTCTCTTCATCTTCATGTCCCAGCCATGAAGTGAACGGTTGGCTGGGCCACACACTCCTGCCATGATGTGCTGTCCTCCCTACTAAAAGTCTAAAAGCAGAAGATTCACCTAATGATAGACTGAAACCTCCATCATGGTAAGCCAAAATCAACCTTTTCTCTGTTTAAGTTGATGTATCTCAGGTATTTGTTATAGTAACAGAAAGCTGCATCACATATCAGGCAACACAATTTTACATTGTCATAGTTTCAGTTCTACATCTGCTAGGATTTGATTTGGTTGAAGAAAAAAACCTGACTGTTCTTGGTTTCACCAAGGGCTTTTTTATATGTCTTTCAAATAAAAATGAATATTCATCTTCTTTAGGAGCTATGACTAGAAAGGCAACCCTTCTTTGGGGATCGAAATCTGATGCTCAGGATAAAACATTGTTTCTGGTGTTTTCATCCCATGAACACAGCATTACAAGAGGCATTCTTAGTGTTCCCTCTTCAAATTAGAAAAAAAATAAGTTGCCTTCTACCTAAGCCCTGATGTCAGTATTAGAGAACATATATGTTCAAGAACTGAATTTGTCTAAACCATTTCTTTACACAAATGTACAGAATACATCCAGTCACTAAAAACGGAGTAGAGGACAGTATGGCACATGGGAATTCAGTGCCACTGCTTTTTAAACAGCTGTTTCCCCAAAGAAAAGGCAACTTCTGGCAGGCAAAAGTAAAATAGCCCTCTCACTGCATTCCTCAGCATGATTTCCAAGTCTTCAAGAGCAGGGAAGGCCAGTTGATCCCAGGGAAGGCCAGTTGATCCCAAGGCAGGCTCTAGAGCCCCTCCTCCACTGCTGTGGCCAGGGATACACACACACCTAGTGCATGCTGACGAGCCAGCTCCGCTCCACCAGCCCGGGTTCCAAACCCGGGCTTACTTTCTGTTAACAAAACGAACGTGGATGGGCTCCGCCGGGGTCAGAAGCCCATGGGTTTTTGCATGAACAGCTTTAGTCCAAGAAGATGTTTTGATCTCAAAATGCTGAAGCAACTAAAAAGAGAAAGAGAAAGAAGGATTCAACATTGGGACAGGGCTAGGGTGTGTCTCAAGAGCACTTGCCTGGTATGYATGAGGCCCTGGGTTTCATTCCAAACACCACCCACACACAATACATGGGAGCAGCAGAAGATTCTGGATGCTCTTTAAATGCTTTTACTCCTCCTATTGTGGCAAGAGGTTTCAGGGAGGTGAGGCAATGAGAAGGTGCCTGTTCAACGTGGAGGCCAGTGACATGCTGGCCATTTGGAGATAGCATTAGATCTCATACAACAGCTTTGCCTGTCCACTGAGCAACAGTAACAAAGAGGTGCACGCAGAACGCTCTCATGATTCAGGTTTTATTCTTCATTTCAAAATCCTAGCCCCATTSTTTCCATTTTAGGTCTACATAAAGGAGGTATGGAAGGATCAAAGAGAATAGACCAAGTGAGATTTCGGGTTTCCTGCTGGATCACAACCTGCAGCTGCATCGGATACAACGCAGACACAGCAGCAGGGAGAGATGTCAGCAGGCAGGAGATGGTCCAACAGACTCTGGGTGTTGATGGCTGAATTTAAACATTCCTGACATGTYCCTTTGATTTTATTGCTCCTGTCTGCCATTCAAAAGTAGAACCAACCCTGCCTCCTAGGGTAAAAACTGGAAAGTGCCTAAATGATGGATTTTAAAGAACTCCAAAGTATCAATTGTCCGAAAGCAATAACCTGCCCAGCCAGTTGGCAAGGCCACCCTTGGGCTTAGGCAACAAAAGACAACTTGCTGTAATACAGATTCCTAGTAGGGATGGGGGCCTCGCTCAACTCATTCAGACAATGCAGGCGGCAGATGAGCTGTTGACAATATAACCTCCAACTTGTGACTAGGCTGTCCCCACTCTGCCCTACCTCTCTCTCCAGCCTTATCTCCCAGGCAAAGACTAAAGGCCCACTGATAGGTCCTCGGGTTAGGCTTCAGATCCAGGATGGAGTCAAGCAGGGATCAGGGTCAGGGCTTCAATGAGGACATTCATTCTTTGGTCATCATTAAAAGAAATGAGCAGAATGGTGTGTCTTTGGGCAGCTCCACAGTGTACGAGCACCAACGTGGCCTGGTCTAAACATCTAACCTCTGACCTTTCACTCTGACCTTGCACATTGCTCCCCATGTGATGAGGTTTGAGGACCACTCATTGGCCAGGGACCATTGGTCTGTCTTGAGAACGCCCCATGTGACAGCAGGACTATTGAGCTCAGGGCTCCAAGAACTCCCCACACCCCATTAACATACACATACCACCTAGGCTTCAGGATTCAGCATCTTCATCTTCCACCAAACAGAATCCCAAGGAGGAAAGAAATGTGGCAGGGCCTGTGGGGTTGAGATGGTCCCTGCCCAGGATGGTGTTTTACAGTACACGAGGGATTTTATGCAAACCCCTGRYTTTATTTTTAAGTTTTCAAAACTGAGTCCTCTTTCTTTACCTGAAAGTTCCGACCCAGTTGAGCCCAATAAGAGAGGTCAYGCCCAAGGCCAGAGTTTGCCTTGCCTGCCTCACCTGGATCATGACCAGGTGAATCTCCAGCTCTGCAATTCTTCGCCCAATGCAACTGCGCACCCCATAGCCAAAGGGGATGGACCCAAAATTGTCGACTCTGTCCAGGTTTCCTTTTCGCAGCCAGCGCTCAGGCCTGAACTCCTTGGCCCGAGGGAAGTTCTCATCCTCGTAGGAGGTGGCATAGTGGCAGAGGGCCAGCTGGGTCTAAAAAAAAGAAAGAAGAGGCTCACTTGAAGGCAGAGCAGAGGCCAGCACAGCCCTAGCCAGAGTGTCCCTTCAGAGAGGCCGCTGACCTGGGGGAGCCACAGAAGGTCCACACAGACCCAGATGGACCACACTCTTCCTTCCCCTCACACTTCCTGGCCCAYTCCCATGTCAATACAGCCTCTGAGAGAGCGAGTTCCAATCCTTGGGAAACTGGCAGAGCAGAGCTGCTGCTTTTACAGGGCAGAGCCTGGGGCTAGAGGGAGTGGCCCTGTGTGCTACAGAACCATCTGTTTTGCTTTTGAGGAGTAAGTTTCCAGAGCAGTCAGACCACACAAATCATCTCACTGCTAAAGCACCATCTTCATAAGCACAGTACAAGAAAGGGACAAAGACTCCCTGAATGTCGAAGCAGATTTCCAACGCAACCGCCAGTGCCCAGCCCTGCCCCTCCACCCCTGTCATGGCCACCAAACTCACGCCTTTGGGAATCAGATATCCGCCAATAACCAGGTCTTCTTGGGTGACACGGCCATTCCCTGGTAGCACTGGAAACAGCCTGGAATGGAACCAATGGGAACAGGAATGGAACAGTGACTCTTAAACTACTTCATTAAACATTTAGGCATCTGAACAGATTGCCACGTCCATTAAATATTCTAAAAAACAGCTGGGTACAGTGGTGCCCCACTGGATCTTGCCCAGCAAATCGGGAGGCTGAGAATCCCAAATTCAAGTCCTCRGCAATTTAGCAAGACCCTTCCTCAAAATCAACAAAAATTCTTAAAAATTTTTAAAAGGACTGAGGATATAGCTCAGGAATAAAAGCACTCCGGGGTTCTATCCCCAGTACCAAAAGAAAAAAAAAATCTAAGAAGTAACAGTGTACAGTTTCAACTAAATCTTCTAAGAAGGATTCAACAGCAAGTATTCTGGGGAATATGAAAAGGGTTACAAGGTCAAAAAAGTTTGCAAAACACAAAGCAAAGCTTTGAACATGGTCTTATGTTCTCAAGGGGGAAAAAAGTTACAAGTTTCTGAAATTTTATGTATACATGGGACCACTTTATCCAAGAATAGTTCATAGGATTTAGGATCCTAAGAATCATTTAAGAAATGGTACTTCAGTTCTCAAATTGTCCTGAACAAAGAACTCTTTAAAAAAATTAAATCCATTTTTTTTAAGGTTCTGGGGATTAAACTTAGGGCCATACACCTTCTAAATATACATGTTTCCACTGAGATACACCCCCCAGTCCATTTTCTTTTTCTTTTTTTCAAGATCAGTCAGCATGCTTAAATTAAGGATTCAGTGCAAATTAAAGTATTGGTATCAAATCAGGTTTGAAAGAATTCTTTTCACGTTTACCATAGAAAATAATCTTTGTTCTTTGTCATAGCAGTTCCTCCACAGAAGATGCTGGTTAGGGGGATTGCAGAGGGGGAAGGAATTTCACTCATCATAAATGTCCATCTCCCCCCAAAACCACCCCCTTCCACCTAAGACAACCCAGCTTTTTCCACTGTCACTGAAGCCCTGTCCAGGAGCAAATGAGCCTCACTAAGTGGCTTCTCCAACTCAGACTAGGATGTTCACACAAGAACCACAGGATACTGTGAACAGGTCAGGTAATTAGCCTAACAATCCAGTGTATTTTTCTGACAAATCAATCTGTTCCACTTTCTCTTCAGAGGAACACAGTCAAAAGCATTGATCCAGGAGCCACTTGGAAACTCTGGATGGACCGACTGTATAAAGGAGGAATAGCATTCAGTGACTGCTTCAAAAATCTTTAGGAAGGACAATGGATATTGAAAAGACAGAGTAACTCTTCTCCTAACCCAGACAGGAGGAAAGATAGATAGTTACAAACATCCCTTTCCTACCCAGTTTAGCTGGTGGGTGTAGACTGAGGATTTGCTGAGACAAAGAATCGGGAGAAGAATGAACAGGGAAAGGTCATCAGGTACAAAGTTTCAGCTGAATAAGAGAAAGAAGTTCTGGTGTTCTTCTCTGCAGCACGATGACTACACTTAACAATATCGTATTCCATGTTTCAAAACAGCTGAAAGGGAGGATGGTAAAGGGTCTCACCTCTCAGAAGTGATCAATGATAGAAATGCTAATTACCTTGAATTCATCATTCCGATGTATGTTTGTGTTGAAACATCATATTACACCCCATAAATATATGCAACTATTATTTGCCAATTAAAAATAAAATAAAACTTTTTTTAAAAAAAAGAATCAGAGATAATAAAGGAGATAATTTGTTGACTTTTACCCCTGACTTGTACCTCAGGGTTTCCTTCAGGAGAGCTCTGACCAGCGGGACTTTGGGGACATCTGCTGCAGTTGGAACATGCCTTTCCCCCAAATTCTTGACTATCTCCCGATACACGGTCTGCTGCACTTCTGGGTGCCTTGCCAGGAGATACACTGCCCAGGATAACGTGAACGATGTCTAATAAGAGAAACCGGCAGGCACAGGCATGTCATGAGTAAAACCAAAGGTTTACACAGCAGTCAGAGTCAGATGTGACGTCCCCTGGGAATAAGGGTAGGAGCAAAACCATATCCATACCATCCTATCTTTGCATTTGAGTTATTACCCAGACAAAAGATTCTTCTCCTTATTTCAGACAAGAAAAATCAAACAACTATTTTTGGAACATCAACTCTATGACTCAAGTACTTTTTTTTTTTTGGTGGGGGGGGGCGCTACAGGTGATTGAACATAGGGACACTTAACCAATGAGCCACATTCCTGGCCTTTTTTGAGAGACAGGGTCTCACTGAGTTGCTTAGTGCCTCACTAGGTTGCTCAGGCTGGCTTTGAACTCTCGATCCTCCTGCCTGAGCCTCCTGAGCTGCTAGGATTACAAACGTGTACCCCCACCCCATGCCCAACTCAAGGACCCTTCCAATGAAGAGCCATGGGGGAAATTATTTCAGCACTTTTTGAATTATTTCAGAGCAATGTGCCTCCTCTCTAGGGAAGCCTGGGGGACCTAAGGAATGACAGTCAAGGCTAGAAGTTCTGCCTGAACTTCACAGGACATTTGCAAAGGTTACMTGTTTTTTTTGTTTAAAAAGGGGCCTAAACCTGTCCACTTTTAAAAGACCTGAGAACCATGACATTCTGGCATCCCACAGGCCCATGATGGCTGGGCCTGGCCTGCTCCAGCTGCCCTAATCTAGAGATTGAGGAGTGCTAGAAGGACATCAGTCAGTCATTGTTCCTATCAATTTATCAACAAAATCAGCAGCTAGCCATAGAGTCTCTCATTTGTGTAGTGGTTTTTTAATTTGGTTCGGTTTGGTTTTTTAATATGGTACTGGGGATTGAACCCAGGGCCTCTCATCAACCAGGCAAGCACTCCACTACTGAGCTACACACCCAGCTCTGCRATATCATTTTTTAATACCACTTCTTGGTCTGATTACATTTCCAGTTATTTAKAATAATTCTATTTTATTATACTAAGTCCCAAGAGTTCCACTAAAATTAATACCACTATCTATGTGACTGTATTTCACTTGCTTGTAAGGAAATTCCATAGTCTAAATTCTTTTTCTTTCAATCTAATTTAATTATATCACATGAATATCATTTCTCCTCCAAGTCAATTGGTAGTGTTCTGTTTCATTCTGATATTGAACACATCTTGGTCACAGTATATTATTCGATTGCTACCATAATGTATTCTACTAACTCGGATTTCATTTAAATGAGATCTCTATAAACATTTATCACATGGATTTGATTCACTAAAATCTCATTTAAATGAGATCCCTATAGAAATTTAGTACATGCTTATASAGAGCAGGCTCTCCCATAATTTATAACATATAATACAATGTTCAAGCTCTTCCTTATAAATGAGAAAAAAATTATTTAGATGCTTTCTATTAAGAGAACAGAAAAATTATATTAGACTCATGTCCTTAGGGGAAAATGGAACATGGCATGCAATGGTACAATATTCAATGATTTTTTTTTTAAAAAAAAAAGAGTAAATTACTGTTAAATACTACCACATGGATGAATCTCAAAGTCATTTCTCTGAGTAAAGGAAGCCAGATGCAGGGTAATATGTATTGTATAATTCCACTGACATAAACTTTAGAAAAGTATGGTAGTAGTTTCATAAATGCTTGCTGCAAACAATCTGTATCAAATTATACAGTTTAAATGGATGCAGTTTATTATGGACAAATCACACTGCACTAAAGTTGATTCCTTTAAAAAAAAATGAGTTTGAAATTTTAAGAATGTTTCCTGGCTTTCTTTCATTCCAGGACACAGAAAAGGACCCGGTACCATCTCAACCCCACTCATTGCGATACTCTAAATTACCACCAGGAGGCAAGAGGTACAATGTGTACAAATTGACTCCTAGACTAGGCGGTTCTTTCATTCTTTCCAGGTGCAAGTGGTGACTTGGTGTGAGCAAATTCACACCATTCATCACTTTCACATAATCAGGATAATCACTGATTGCATCAGTTAGTTTCCATTTAATTCTTACTCTTTTTGTTTTATCCTTGCAGAATTTCTGGAAGAAGTTTATACTGTTTTTTGTTTCAACATATTTAAGTGACATTATCATAAAAGTGATATAGGTTAGCCAGGTACAATGGTGCATGTCTGTAATCCCAGCAATTTGGGAGGCTGAGGCAGGAGGATTACAAGTTCCAGGCCAGCCTCAGAAACTTAGCAAGGCCTTAAGAAACTCAATGAGACCCTGTCTCAAAATAAAAAATAAAAAGAGCTGGGGATGTGTCTCTCTGGTAAAACACCCCTGGATTAAATTCCCAGTACCAAAAAGTCAACCCTGGTTTTGGTTTGGGGGGTTCTTTTTCCTCCTTTTAAAATGAAGCTCTGTGCCTTAATCAAGGTYAGAAAGCACTTGCATGAAGGAAAAGCATGATGTGACAAGCTCAATTGCTAAGATCTCCCACTTGTTCAACGTAGGTGGTAACCCCTTCCTTAGGAGATGCTGCCAGGGGGGGCGTTCAGGTTAGTGCTTTCAATACAGCAGSGTCTGGTGCAACCTTGCTTCTTACTTTCCAGACACACCAGCAGAAGCACCCCCTCCAGCCCAGCACTTCCCCACTTTGCTGCCAGAAATTTCATTCAATTGACTATGTTCTACCACATACTGGAAGTACAAGCCTGTTGTTTTGTTTGTTTCCTTGTTTCATCACTTCCTTTTAGCAAAATTTAAAACTGTTCTAGGGCTAGGGGTTTAGCTCAGCAGCAGAGCCCTTGCTCTGAGGCCCTGGGATCGGCTGGCATTCATGAGGCCATGGGTTGGATCCCTAGAACCACAAAATAAATAAAACTACTCTGCACCTACACCCACATGTATAGCATTTTTCAAACACAAGCAAATGTGGCATATTACATGTTTTAGGAAGGAACATGATTCGCCAGTCCCTGGACCTCAGCCAGAAAACCCCTGTTAACAACCCAGTGTATACTCACCACCCTTCTGCATGGCCACACGATCCCTTACAGACACATATATGCACATAGACAGGAAGGGGGTGGCCACAGTGTCTTGCTAATGGGATCACCTCAAAGTCCATTGGCAGTGCTGTTTCATTCTGATAATGAACCCTTCTTGGTCTGGATTCTATTTTCTTGCTTCAAATTGATATGTTTACACACATACATGCACATGCACACATATTTACAAGTCAAACTGTTTTAAGTTTTCTGTCTTTACACTCTCTATATAATAGGTCATGGGTTTTGTTTTTGTCTTTTTTTGTTTGTTTTAATTTTTAGTTGTAGATGGACACAGTACCTTTATTTTAGTTATTTTTGTGGTGCTGAGGATCGAACCCAGTGCCCCATGCGTGGAAGGCAAGCAATCYGCCACTGAGCCACAACCCCAGCCCAACAGGTTGTGGTTTTAAAGTTAACCAGGCTTTATAAAATGAATTCCATGGCTTAGAAAATTTTAAAGGGTAAATAACAAGGTGTTTAATGTCTGCACCCTCTTCATGGCTGATATTATGAAATAGTGAACAAAATGTTGGCAAAATGGGGATGATTTTTAAACTGGAACACTTACTGCAATTTTACGTGTGTGATTATGGAATTATGGTTATGTTTTTCATAGAATTGACTATGTAGTTTTGTTTTACATTTTACAGAAAAAAAGTTTTCTCCTGGCGATTTTCTGCTAGTACAGGTGGCCTCAGTATATGTAGGGATTGGTTCCAGAACAGAGTCTGGGTATGCTCAAATCATAAAACAATGGTATGACATTTGCATATGATATAYATATAATTTATATACACCCTCCCCCATACTTTTAATCATCCTAGGAGATTCATAACACCTAATGAAATGTCTATGCAAATAGTTGTCATAATGTATTACCTAAGAAGTGATATGATAATGTTCATGCACATGTAATTTTTTTTCCTGAATATCTTCAATCCAGAGTTGGCTGAATCTACAGGTATGGAACCTGTAGATATGGAAGGCCAACTATACAAACATGTACAGTGTACTTAAAGCATTTGCCCTACTAAGAATGGAACCACCATTTGACTCAGCTATCCCTCTCCTCAGTCTATACCCAAAGGACTTAAAAACAGCATACTACAGGGACACAGCCACATCAATGTTTATTGCAACACAATTCAMAATAGCTAAACTGTGGAACCAACCTAGATGCCCTTCAGTAGATGAATGGATAAAKAAAATATGGTATATAAACACAATGGAATATTACTCAAGCAATAAAAGAGAATAAAATCATGGCCTTTGCCAGTAAACAGATAAAGTTGGGGAATATAATGTTAAGTGAAGTTAGCCAATCCAAAAAAAACAAATGCTGAAGGTTTTCCTCTGATATAAGGAGGCTGATTCTTAGTGGGGTTGGCGGGGCAGGGAGCATGGGAGGATTAGATGAACTCTAGATAGGGCAGAGGGTGGGAGGGGAAGGGAGGGGACAAGGGGGTAGGGAAGATGGTGGAATGACATCATTGCCCTAAGTCCATGTATGAAGACATGAATGGTGTGAATATACTTTGTATACAAGCAGAGATATGAAAAATCATGCTCTATATTGTAATGCATTCTGCTATCATGTATAACTAATTAGAATTTAAAAAATTTTTAAAGAATTTTTAAAAACTAGTAAATAAAAAAGAAAAAAAAGTGTCTTCTCTACAAGGAAACACTCCACCAGAGCATGAGGAAAGCAGTGCCGCGCTTCATTCATTGAGAAAACAAGCACCGGTACTTACTGTGTCAACGCCGGCCAGCAGCATCTCTGTCATGTTGGCGTAGATCTCCTCCAGCGTCAGTGTCCGGCTAAGGAAGAGGTAGGTGAGAAGTCCCCCRCTCACCCTCTCCCCTCGGTCCAATTGGCACTGTATGTCCCTCAACTTGTTGTCGACATGAATTTGGCCTGTTGGAAAATGGTATTTCTTTGAAAAGCAGTTTGGGTTGAGAATAACCACTTTTGTCTCAAGTCTCTCTTGGTCCTGCCCATGATGTAACTAACCCAATGAAGTTTGCATAGCAGGTGACAGAGGCTAGGGAAACCCAGCTTGATCTCTTGTCAGCCTTGGGGTCTCATTCATACACTTACTTGTATAAATGAATGAAAAACTAAAGACAATCTAAACATTTATTCCTTCCTGAAAGTAATATCTATCTGGAAATGTTCTAATCCAATAACCAAGGAGTTATTATTATATTATTATAATATAGAGAAACAAGAATGCAATTCTTTTTTTTTCCCACTCTGGTTCCAGAAAAAGAAAAATGAATTGAGCAGGGCAAAGGCCATGATTATTATCTGAGATGTTACTACAAAAAGACAACAAAATATAATCTACAACAGAACCTGTACATTTAAATGAATGCTGACCTTCAAAAAGACGCCACGGGACACATCTTTTGATATTAGCATTGTTCTAAAACATTTGGAAAGGCATTTTGGAAATCACTTTTTTCTTTTTGGAAACACCTTTTTGGTAAAAAAAAAAAAAAAAAAAAAAAAATTTGATGCCAGGCTTGGTGGCACATACTTGTAGTCCAGAGACTCAGGAGGCTGAGGCAGAAGGATCTCAAGTTTGAGGCCCCTCAGCAATTTTGCAAGGCCCTAAGCAACTTAGAGAGACCCTGTCTCAAAATAAAAAGATAAAGAACTGGGGATGTAGCTCAGTGGTTAGGCACCCCTGGGTCAAGCCTCAATATCATCGCCCCCATTTATTGATTGATTGATTGATTGATTGATACTGGGGATAGAACCCAGGAGCACTCAACCACTGAGCCATACCCCCAGCCCTATTTTGTATTTTATTTAGAGACAGGATCTCACTGAGTTGTTTAGTGCCTCACCATTGCTGAGGCTGGCTTTGAGCCACTGGGATTACAGGTGGGTGCCACCACRCCTGGCCCCAAATTTTCTGAGTTACATAAGAAAGCAAATCTTCTTTATAGTGTCACTTTGAGGATAAATAAATATTCATCTTCCTAGCTCRTTTTCACTAGGTAACAAAACAAATGAATCTATCCCTTTCAAAAAAGCTGCAATGGAGAATGTTCAAATAAAAGTCCATCAGCCTCCAATTCCCTCAACAGTTTGAGTACTGACAGATTTACTGGACTACAGATATTATCTTCCGGAGGGAATTTTATGTGCATGTGTCACTGCTAGCACATTTTCTCAAACAGAAAAAATTATAAAATGAAAATTAGGCCATGTAACTAGTAGTCACACCCCACATGCTTTTCTTGCTTATTTGAAAAACAAATATGAAAAAGTTATGAATRCAAATAACCCCTGGAGGTCCATCGGATCATCCTCAGCCATAATCACCCCTCTGCCTGGAAACACTAGATACACGGYTGCAGTCCCATCACCCTATAGATGCCATAGGTGCCCTTCCTCCAGCCTTCTCTTACTGAATTTGAAGAGTCCATCCCAGGACCTGCAGAATTCTCGCCAGGGTTTGGGGATGAAGGGGCGGAGCCATCTGGGGATGGCACCTGCGTACATGGAGGTCTTGAACATGCTGAACATGAGCTCTAGGGCTTCAATGTACTCCACTGTTGTCTGGGGGATGTGGTTCTCCAGGCATCCTAAGCGACTCTCGTAAAGGATGGTGGCCACACCTGGGTGGGGAAGACAGTTCAAAAGTTCTTTTCTCCTCCATCATTTACCATTATCAATRCCATATCAATACGTAATATGTGGCATTAAAAATAACTTTCAAAAATGGTCTAAGTGAGGGTTGGGATTGTGGCTCAGCGGTGGAGCGCTTGCCTATAACGGGAGAGGTTCAATCCTCAGCACCACATAAAAATAAAGGCATTGTGTTGTGTCCATTTTATATTTATACACCTAAAATATAAATATAAAAAAATATTTTTTTAAAAAAGTGGTCTAACGGGCTGGCTGCTGATGTGGCAGAATGGGAGGGTGCATAGCTTGTGTGCCCAAGGCCATGGGTTCAGTCCTCAGCACCACACACACACACACACACACACACACACACAAAGGATGCTCTGGGAACCTTTCATGAGTCACTTTTATCATCCTATCTCCATCCTGAACTACAGGATGCTGTGCATGGTTAACTCTGCTTCATTTAAATAGCTCCCTTTATAGCCCTTAAATACATATTAGGAAACCCACCAGAGCCAGGCATGGGGGTGCACACTTGTCTATCCCCGTGACCCAGGATCAGGAGATCCACAACTTGAGCAATTTAGCTAGAGCCTGTCTCAAAATAAAAAAGGGATAGGGATGTAGCCCAGTAATAAAGCACCCCTGGGTTCAATCCCCAGGGGTACCAGGTGGGTAGAGGGGAAGCCCATCAGAAGGACGAGATAAGAAGAATCATAAAGTTTAAGTAGCGTGTTTAAGGTTGCAGGGGACTGGAACTCAGGTCTGAGATGACAGACCTTGTGAGGAGAGTGAGCTCTCCAAGCCTGATGCTGCTCAGCCCCTTCACACCCACCTCTCTAGTTTGTCSTAGTTCTGAGGAGGGAGGAAGCAAAACCCAACCAGGGCCCCTTCCTGCCTCATTTGGAGACTATGAATCAGCTTTCCATCATGAGGCTCAATGGGGATAATTGAAAGCTGTCTCCTCCTGGGGATCCCAGACCCAGAGAGCTAAAGGAACAGAGGAAGTGACCTCATGGATCCGTGGAGGGTAGGATGGTTCACTTTGCTTATATTACAGTTCTCTGTTCATGTCATTGCTATTTTTAGAAAACATTCCTATCAGAATTTCAAAGTTAAGAGTTAAAGGTACATTCATACATTGCTGGTGGGACCACAAATTGGAGCAATTCTGGGAAGCTAAAGGGAGATTCCTGAAAAAACTAGGAATGGAACCACTATTTGACCCGGCTATCCCACTTCTCCATATATATCCAAAAGATTTAAAATCAGCATACTACAGTAGCCACATCAATGTTTATAGCAGCACAATTCACAGTAGCCAAGCCATGGAACCTATCTAGATGGCCTTCAACAGATGAATGGATAAAGAAAATGTGGTACATATACACAGTAGAGTATTACTCAGCCATAAAGATTTTCCTGTAAATGTATGGGACTGAAGGCTATCATGCTTAGTGAAATTAACCAGTCCCAAAAAGTCAAAGGTCAAATGTTTTCTCTGATAGGCAGATGATAATCCAAAAATAAGGGGGTGTGACTTAAAAAAAATAGAAGAAAGATCAGTGGAATGGAGGAAAGGGATTGAACAGGAATGGGAGGGGATGGGATAAGGAAAGAACAATGGAATTCATCTGACTTAATCTTATCATCATGTATATCCACAAGACTCTGATTATTTTTTAAAAACTATAAGTAAATAGCAGGAAGATCAGTAGAGAGAAGAGAACAGAGAAAGGGAGGAAGGATTGAAAAGGGGAAGTCCTGGGGACTGGATTAGAGCAAATTATATTCCATGTTTTTATAATTATGTYAAAATGAATCCTAATGTTGTATATAACTAACAAGAGCCAATTAAAATGGAAAAACAAAGAGATAGGCAATATAAAAATCTTTTTTAAAGTTAAAAAGAAGAGTTAAAAATTCAAAGTAATGGAAACATTATTTTAAAAAGATCCAGTACCACCAAAAAAAAAAAAAAAAATGAGAAACCTGATAGAAGTGTCTTCCAGACATATTTTTAAGAAAAAAGCAATATGTTTTGTATACTGGAGGATATAGCTCAGTTGGTAGAGTGCTTGCCTCGATTGCCCAAGGCCCTGGGTTCAATTCCCAGCACCAAAAAAAAAAAAAAAAATAGGGTTGGGATGTGGCTCAGTGGTCAAGTGCCCTGGTACCCCTGCCCCGCCTTCCCCCAAAGAAGAAATAATCAAGATGTAAGGAAAATGAGTTGTGCTTAAAATATGCTAGGGGAAAGGGAGGATTTAAAATACATACATATATGTGTGTGTGTGTGTGTGTGTGTGTGTGTTTTGTATACTATCATTTATGTTTTAAAAGTAAAAAGAATATTCATGTGTATTCCATTGTAGGTACATAACAGATCTTGATGGACACATGAGAAACCGAGGGCCTTAGTCACAATAAGGAAGCAGGAGAATATTTGATGACTACCTTTTGGTTATGATATCTGAATTATCCGACAAGATGGAATGACTTTGTGATAGACCAAATATACATACACATATATACAGTCTATCCCTTYATAACTGTGGGTTCCTTTATTTTTAATTATGGTTTAAAAAAATGTGTAGTGACTAGGAACATGGATTCTTGAACTAAAATGACCTGGATTTGAAACTGATTTTAGTCTCTAAGGAAAGGAATTGGGGTATAACCTTGAGTAAGTTCTTTAGGAGGTCTCAGTTCTCCCTTTTGTCCAACAGCAGGGACACACCTGGTTCATGCTAGTGAAGCCAGAATTAAAGACAGGCGATAAAATAGGTGATCCAGAGAATGAAGGCCAATTTAGGTCTCTGAAGTTGGAGATTGAAATGTTAATGTCTTCAGAGCCCTTCCTCCACCCTTATCAAGATAACTGGCCCCTGCTCTAACCTGTTGCTAGGGTAACCTCTCCCAGGGACTGTCCCTCCTAATATGGAGTTATAAAAGTTGTTAATTAATGCACCCTAGGCCCCCTTCCTTCCCAGATCACTCCACCTTAGCCCCTCCAGCCCATCTGCTTCTCACCTTTTGGCCATCCTACCTGAGCATCTCCTGAGCCTAATCAGGAAGGAGAGAGATAAGGGGGGAGAGAGCAGGAGAACAAAGAAAATCTAGGATGTATAAAAGAGGCAGAATGCTCTCATTTCTTGGGATACCAGGATACCAGCTATGGACCCCTTCTCCCTCCCAGGAGAAGTCTATGTTACCCCTTTATAAATAAACCCTGGTTCATATGCCTGCCTCCGAGTGCTTCTCTAATGTTAAGGAATGTGAGGAAGCAGAACTGGTCCCCCATAACCGGTGGTGTCATTTGCACTGTGGGGATGATATGTGTGTATGCACTGGGCTTACACTGCCTGGGGGCACAGGAAATGCTCAAGGAAAGAAAACTACTTTTTTGGCAATTTTCCCGTCTTCTGACTCCACCTCACCTTCCATTGAATATTTGAAGAAAAGATCATTGACATTAGTCACCGTTTCCCCATCTTCTGCGTGACTCCTGAGGATGTAGATTTTTTTAATCAAATCAGCAATAACTTGGTTGACTTCTCCAGAGAAAATGGCCACATCTGTCGGTTTCAGAATTCTTTGTCTTAATACACTTCTCATCTTGAGCCACTGTTCACCTTCCCTAGAAAAACAACAAGAATTTCAGATAATCTTACTTACATTGACATTCTGGGAAGGAATTCAAAACCTATGAAAAAYTTCCCATCCATGAAGAATCAATGAGAGCTGCCAGTCAAAATTAGATAAACAAGGGCTACAGATCAAAATGAGGTCAGCAAGAGCTGCTGGGAAGAGAGGAAGAATAACTTAACTCCTGTTAGAGCTTAAGTTGCTGCCCTTGAAGCAAACTTTTTTTTTTGCACCAGGGATTGAATCCAGGGGCACTTAATTCCCAGCTCATTTTTTTCTTTTCCGTTTTTTTTTTTTGTTTGTTTGTTTGTTTGTTTGTTTTTTTGAGACAGAGTCTCACTAAGTTTCTTAGGACCTCACTAAATTGCTGAGATTGACTTTGAATTTATGATTCTCCCGAGCCACTGGGATTACAGGCATGCACCACAGTACCCAGCTCCTTGAAACAAAGTTTAAGGAAAAAATTACCCCTGGGAATCATGTAATATGATTTCCTTTGAAAAACCTATCATGATAATATTGTAACATAATTTAATATTTCTCATAATAATATCATATTTTAAAGATATGAAACTGATTAGCAAAAGAGAAATATATGCTAATCTATACATATATACTTTGTATATATATATACAAAGTATATATGTATAGATATATACATATATACTTTGTATATATATATATATATATATATATATATATATACAAAGTATATATGTATAGATTCGTGTGTACACTTCTTACACTTCTCATCTTGACCCTTCATAGCTGTGGGTTCCTCATCCATGGATTCAACTAACTGAAGATCAAAAATATTTTTTAAAAATTATGATTTAGAGATGATTTAAAGCATACAGGAGGATTGTGTTGGTTTTGTGCAAATACTGCAGATTTTGGTATCCACAGGTGTCCTCGAACTAATCTGAGGACACCATGGGTTACTATTGATATTTAAAAAGAAAAAGGGAGCCAGGCATAGTAGTGYACACCTGTAATTCTACCTACTTGGAAGGCTAAGACAGGAGGGTCACAAGTTCAAAGCCAGCTTCAGCAACTTAATAAGACCCTGTCTTAAAATTGAAAAATTAAAAGGGCTAAGAATGTAGCTCAGTGGTAAAGCCTCCCTGGGTTTCACCCCACCCCACCCTGTACCAAGAAAATAATAAAATAAATCTAAAAAGAAAACCAAAAAGGGTGACTGCAGCTCTTTCCCAGGGGRGTTGGGGGCTCCTGGCTGCACTTTAGAGGATGCCAAGCTCCCTAAACTGATTAGCAACACCTCTCACCATGAAGGCAGGATGCTCAGTGAACAGTCTGCAGCAGGTCTGAGGACTGCGGCACACTGTCCCTCAGAGGGTTCCAGTGAGGCTGAGCTTTGTCCAGTGGCCCCCAAAAGCAACCCTCCCATCCATCCACACTCAGTGTTTCTCTCCCATTCCTTCCTGGCTTCCCCACTCCCAAATGAACCATTGCAATTAAACCCTTGCCTTGGGATCTGTTTTGGGTGACCCCAGCTAAGCCAGCCAGTCTCCTGGGCCAGGCATTCCCTCTCCCCTTCCCACCTGTTCTAAAGTCACCAGCAATATGCCATATATATATATATATATATGCCATACATACACACACACACAGACACACACACACACACACACACATATACATACACATACACACACAGAGTATATATGTATACACACACACACATACAGAGAGAGAGAGAGAGAAAGAGAGAGAGAGAGAGAGAGAGAGAAATTGAATCTCTGGCCCACAGAAATTTGGGTCAGGGATTATATAAACATTCTGGCCTCCTCCCTGCTTGGAACTGTGCCAATTATTTCTTCAAAGGTACCAACATGTTAGTGAACCTTGTTCAGAATTAATTATCACAGTCTGCTATGAAACACGAAAATCACCATGGTGCTGGAGATTCTTAGCCCCCACCAGGAGATTTGCTTTTGGGTCTTACCCTCTTCTACAGATTGGCCCACATTAAATAAAGGCTTGGTCCCCAGTCCATGGCACTACTGGGAGATGACGGTGACTTTAGGAGGTAGGACCCAGGGGAGGAAGTTAGGTCGTGTGAGGATGTGTCCCTTCACACATGGGAACCCTTCCCTTGCCTCTGTCTCTTGCACTCCCCAGCTGCTAGGAGATGAGACTCTTCCTCCATCACTTGCTCCCCCCCATAATGTGCTGCTTCAACACAGGCCCAAAAGCAATGAGCCAACTGACCATGGACTGAAACCTCCAAAAGTATGAGCCAAATTAAATGTTTCCTTTTTTAGAGTTGATTATCTCAGGTCTTTTGTTACAGTGATAAAAAGTCAACAACCCTCCTTCCCCTGTCCTTTAGCTCCCTGGGTGTCACTGAGTGGACACCTAAGCTGCAAAGCATTGCTTAAGAAGAGCACTGGCCCATCATTCAGTCAGTGTGGCCTCCACCTTTATCCCAGCCAGCAGACCTCTTCACAGAGGAGGAGGGAGAGCCCCACGGAGCTCTGCAGCTCCTGGTGTTAGGAGATCAGGCAAACTGGTTATTTGACACTATTCCACTGAAACTTCTGTACTTTTTTAATAGCTGCCTTTTAGGAAACCAGTGTCGTGGGTATTCCTTCCTGAGTTCCCTCCAACGCTTGGCACAGTCTGGCCTGCATACTCACGCTGAGATGAGCCCGGTGGCTCTCCCCCGTAAGTCTCGGTACTCCTGCCAGGACTCCATGTTGGCTCTCTGGGGCGCGACCCCCTCCGCCCGGAGCACCTGAGCCACCATGTCGCGGTCTGCAATAGATACTACAAACTGAGGACCAAAGTGAGACTTGAAGATTTTTCCATATTCCTGTGTGTGCTTCTGCTGCAATACCGTGGAGAAACCAAAAAAAGGAAAAAACACACAAATATGATATACCTTCAATGTCAACATTCCTGCGTGTTAGAGAAGCAGAAAATGGGGGCAGAGGGAAACTGTATATTCATTCTATGGGACTGTATATCAGAGCAGTACCTTTACATATGCACATAATCATATGCATAGAGGCTTGTTTATTTGTTAGCCATGTGGTTTTTAAAATGCCATACTTCAATAAGAGAGAAATGTCTTCATGGATAGAGATGCACTAAGGAGACACACATCCTAAGCCAAATGAGCCCCAGTCAACCAACCCCTACCCCACAGCCCAGCTCTACAGGAGCCTGCTCTGTGGAGTGAGTCCTCTGGGGAAATACAGTGGGCCTCTAAAAATGGCCTCCAGGGGTTCAGTGATAGAGCACATGGCTAGCATCGTGTACAAGTTCAATCCCCAGCACGAAAGGGAATAAAAACATTAATAAATAAATAAATAATTTTAAAAACCTGAAAGGGAAGGGAAAGGCATTTAGACTCTAGTCTAAAGGAGAAGCAAAATCATCTCTGTTCACAGATGACAAGATTCTCTATAAAGAAAATGTTAAGGAATTCATGGGAAAAAATAAATAGACATAACTCCTGATTCAATTTGAGTAGCTTATAGCTATGAATTTGTCCATGTCTTCAAGATTTTCTATTTGGGTATAAATTTTCAAAATAGGTTCTGATTATTGCCTGTATTTCAGTGGTGTCCGTCATGAGATTTCCTTTTTTCATCACCAATTTTAGTAATTAGAGTTTTCTCTCTTTCTCTGATTCTTTTCAAAGAACCAACTTGTCATTTTGTTGATTTTGGCGGCGGTGGGGGGGGGTGTGAGGATAGTTTCTTTTGTTTCAATTTCATTGATTTCAGGTTTGATTTTAATTATTACCTGTCATCTACTGCTTTTGGTGTTAATTAGGTCTTTTTTTTTCCTAGGGCTTTGAGATGTAATGTTAGATAATGTATTTGTTGACTTTCTATTCTTTTAATGAATGAGCACAATACAAATAAATTTCCTCTTATCTCTGTCTTCATAGTATACCAGAGATTTTGATATGTTGTATCGCTATTCCCATTTACCTCTAAGTATTTTTTTATTTCAGCCCTGATTTCTTCTACTAGCCATTCATCATTCAATAGCATATTGTTTAGTCTCCAGGTGTTAGAGTAACTTCTATTTTTTTTATTTTATCATTTATTTCTAATTTCATTTCATTATGATCTGATAGGATGCAAGGTATTATCTCTATTTTTTTTTATTTTCTAAGAGTTGCTTTGTACCTTAAGATACAGTCAATTTTAGAGAAGGATCCATGTGCTTCTGAGAAGAAAGTGTATTCAGTCATTGACAGATGAACCATTCTATATATGTCTGTTAAGCCTAAAGTATTATTTATATTTTTTAGTTCTATAGTTTCTTTATTTTGTTTTTCTTTGAAAGATCTATCCAGTGGTGAAAGAGGTGTGTTAAAGTCACCCACTATTATTGTGTTGTGGTTTATTTGATTCTTGAAATTGACAAGGATTTGTTTGAATCAGGAGGACATAGAAAATTTAAACAGATCAATTTCAAGCAAGGAAATTGAAGACATCATCAAAAGCTTACCAAGAAAGAAAAGTCCATGACCAGACAGATTCTCAGCCAAGTTCTACAAGACCCTCCAAGAAGAACTAACACCAAGCCTCCTCAAATTATTCCATGAAATAGAAAAGGAGGGAACTCTTCCAAGCATTTTATGAAGCTAGTATCATCCTGATACCAAAACCAGACAAAGACACGTGAAGGAAAGAAAATTTCAGACCAATAATCCCGATGAACATAGATACAAAAATTCTTAATAAAATACTGGAAAATTGCATACAAAACATATTTAAAAAATAGTGCACCATGATCAAGCGAGGTTCATCCCAGGGATACAACCTTGCATCAATAAAATACAGAATCAATATTTAAAATTGATCACATCAATAGATTTAAAGACAAGAATCACATGATTATCTCAATAGGTGCAGAAAAAGGATTTGACAAAATATGGCATCCATTCATGTTCAATACACTAGAAAAACTTGGGATAGTAGAAACATACCTCAACATTACAAAAGCTACATATGCTAAACACAAGGCCAACATCATTCTAAACGGAGAAAAATTTAAAGCATTTCCTGTAAAAACTGGAACAAGACGGGGATGCCCTCTTTCACCACTTATATTTAACATAGTCCTAGAAACTCTAGCCAGAGCAATTAGACAAAAAAAGAAACTAAGGAATACAAATAGAAAGAACTCAAATTATCCCTATTTGTTGACTACATGATTCTGTATTTAGAAGACCCAAAAAATTCCACCAGAAAACTTCTTGAATTCATAAACAAATTCAGAAAAAGGATATAAAATTAACACCTATAAATCATTTGCTGTCAAATATATATCAGTGATGAATCAACTGAAATCAAGAGAAATTAGGAAATCTATCCCATTCACAGAAAAAAAAAACTCAAATAAAATAAAATATTTGGGAATCAACCTAACAAGAAACGTGGAAAAAATCTAAAATGAAAACTACAGAACACTAAAGAAAGAAACTGAAGAAGGCCTTAGAAGATAGAAAGATCTCTTGGATAGGCAGAATTAATATTGTCAAAATGGCCATACTTCCAAAAGCACTATACAAATCAAATGCAAAGTAGACATCTAATAAGGGACTTGTATCTAGTATATGTTTTTAAAAACCTTTTGCAACTCAATAGTACAAAAAGAGTAATAGTAATTGAATTAAAAACCGGGCAAAGGATTTGAATGGACACTTCTCCAGAGATATACAAGTAGCTAATTAGCATATGGAAAAAAGCTCAATATAGTTAGTCAAAAGAAAATGCAAATCAAACATATTAGATTTCACTTCACACCAAATAGGACGACAATAATCAAAAGGACAGATAAAGCAAGGATGTAGAAAAATCAGAACCTCTTATGCTGTTGGTGGGAATGAAAAAGGGTGTGGACACTCTGGAAAACAGCTGGCAGCTGGTCAAAGGGTTAAATATAGACTTTTTATTTTAGCCAGCAAAACCACTCTTAGATAAATATCCAAGGGAAAAGAAAACATGATACTCAAATGCTCACAGCAGCACTATTCATAATAGGCAAAGATGGAAACAATTCAAACATCTATCAATTGATGAATGGATAAGCAAAATGTAGGTACTGACACCTGCCGCAACTTGGAAAAACATTGAAACCAGTCACAAAAGACCACATTTTATGTGGTTCCATTCATATGACATGTCCAGAATAATCTACAGAAAACTAGTTAGCCAAGAGGAAGGGGAGAGTTGGAGTGACAACTGAAGGTTATGGAATTCTTTCTCTTTCTTCTTTCTTTCTAGGAGGGAATTACTGTGGATTGAACCCAGGAATATTCTACAACTGAGCCAAATCCTCAGCCCTTTCTACTATTTCAAGTCAGGGTCTCACTAAGTTGTCCAGGTTGACCTCAAACTTGTGATCCTTCTGCCTGAGCCTCCTGAGTAGCCGGGATGATAGGCGTGCACCACCATGTGCCTATCATGTGCCATGGAGTTTCTTTTTAGAGTATTTTAATAAAAATGTTCTAAAGCTGACTTGGTGATGGTTGTAAACTTCAAATGTGTGAACTGCATGGTACATGAATCATATATCTATGAAGTTGTGAAAGAAGGAAGGAGACAGGGAGGGAGGAAGGAGTAAATTGCAATAAATATAGATGGACAATTAAAGACAGAAAAGGGAGTGGCTCCAACATGGCTCAGTGTGACAGGACTGGCCCTGCAGAAAATGATGAAGGCTGTCTTTGGCATCCACCATCCTTTCTCACCACTCCAATTCCCAGTCTTGGAAATGGCAGGCCAGGGAGACTGTTGTCTCTCCACTCTTTGGCCCACAGGTGAAAGCTCTTCAGTCCTTCTGTGGATTTGGGTGAGGTCCACCTGGGTGAAGACACTCAGACCTAACTGGAATGGGTGAGTCTTCAATGGGTCACTTCTAACAAGTAACCTCAAAAGACTCCAGGTTGGGCTGGGAATGTGGCTCAAGTGGTAGTGCGCTCACCTGGCATGCGCGGGGCACTGGGTTTGATCCTCAGCACCACATAAAAATAAAATGAAGATGTGTGTCCACCGAAAACTAAAAAATAAACATTAAAAAATTCTCTCTCTCTCTCTCTCTCTCTCTCTCTCTCTCTCTCTCTCTCTCTCTCTCTCTCTCTCCCTCTTAAAAAAAAAAAAAAAAGACTCCAGGTCTCTGAATGGGACCCGTAAAGGGGTGGCTGATAATGGAAACCACTGAGAAATGGACTACTGCTCAGGCAAATCCAGCTACTGAACGGGCACATTCAGAATAGGGGGCTGGCAATAGAAATACTACACACAGTTTACAGCACTTTTCAGTGAAGTGGTACAGTCAGTGATAATACTTAAACAGAGATACTGGAGTTTGAATACTGGCTCACAGTTTACTAGCTGGGTGACCTCAGCTCCCTCACCTGCAAAATGATGAAATAATGGAACTTGCCCTCACATGTAGGAGTTAGAACTTCGCCTGTATATGAAAAGAGTTCTAGAAATGTTCATTGCTGTTATTTATTTGTTATTATCAGTTTCACAGCCCAAATCTCATTTGACCTCACAATAACCAGTGGGATGGATGGAAATTGTTAGTCTCCAACTATAGTCTAGAGACAATAAGTGACTAGCCCAAGACAAGTGGTTGCAAAGGGCTATCACTGAAGAGAAGATTCTGGTACCCATGATTTTGCTGCTCTGTCACACCTGAAACAGCATTTGGTATATGTACATATACTCTGCTACTGAGTTGCATGAGCTTGGACCTAACTTAGCTAATACTGTGGATCTCTTCCGTTTATAAGAGGAGAATTGAATTGTAGAGCTGAATGCAAGGATTCCTTTGAGTTAACATTCTGTAATTACAAGGTGAGTGCAAGTAAACTGGATGAGATGGGTCACAGAATAATGCTCTTGCTCCCAGAAACGTTGCTTTATTGCAGCCTGGAGAGCCAGAAGAAGGGCTTTACTTAGAACCAGCATAGAGCCCGGGAGCACCACTTCAGTGTGGCTAACCACAGGCTGTAAAGCACTCCCTAGCRGTTCTCAGAGGAACTGCAGGAAGAAGAGTACTTCAAACGCCAGACGTGAGAATTCTGGTGGTGCTCTCTGAGGAGTGAAGAAAAAGGTGAAGCCAGAGAGAGTAGGTCTAACTGGGAGCACCGAGGTCCTGCCTGCTGTGTTGTGAGAAAGCACCAAGTGAGTCAGTTCCTTGACTGTGTGCTCTGGCACGTCTGCCCTGGGGGCATGGGTGTGGTGGTGAAAGATGTGTCTGAGCAGTGAGCAAAAACGGCCGGCTGGGTTCAGCATGGTAGGTGGAGGCTGAGCAGATGAATGGAAAAAAAAAAGTCAGTGGAAACTGAGACATATCCTGTTTGGGGATTCAGGTTTTAACCATGGTCAGCTTTTCAAAGAAGCCCGTGCCCAAGGAACAAACTCTGGACTGATGGTGTGAGTGAGGTTAAATACAGATGGAAGTAGAGATGGATACAAGAAAAATTAAGCATAAAAATTTAGAAATCAGGCTGTATTGAACTCATAACAAGCAAACTAAATAGTTTTCACTGTATTTGGAAACTCTTGTCCTAAAATCTTAGGTTCATAGAAAAGAGGAGACAGACAGAGAGACAGAGAGAGAGAGAGAGAGAGAGAGAGAGAGAGAGAGAGAAACCTTCTGGACTCCCACAATTATGATGAAGGGTGAGGCTTGGAGAGGAGGAGGCCAGTTGTGATTTCTGTTGAATTAAAATCCCTCCTCATGCTCTGTTGCTTTTTTCTTAGCGAGGTTTCTACTTCTCTCACTTTAGGCAAGGCGCCTGCGCCATCTGGGGCATTGGCTAGTTGATAAACCAAGAAATGAATGAAGCCCAGGTGGGAGATTGGAAAAGTGCCTCCTAGGACCAGTAAGTTTCTCACAACAAAAGGAAGTGGGTGCGTGTGAGAAGAGGGTGTTTCGGGAGCCCAAGGGCCTGGATCCCAGAAGTAGCTGTGTTCTAGGATTGCAAGCCCCAGAAGGCGAGCAGATGAAGACACCAGAGGAGGCGGCAGCTGCCACCACAAGTTGGAGGGACGGAAAATTGACGCTTCCAGGTGGAAGGCCACCTCAGGATAAAAGACGCAATTGGAGGGGCAAGGGTAGGGGTCAAGATGAGAAACGAGGGATCCCACATCATCTCGCCAAGGGTTACTGGCATATCTGGGATCTTACCAAGTCCCTGGCCCAGCCCTTAGGCGTCGACCCTGTAACTATGCAACTCCAAGCCTCTGAACTTCACTTTTTCCAATTATAAAAAAAAAAAAAAAAAAAAAAAATACTAGACCTGAACACAAAGCTATCAGTCACGTAGAGACACGCGGGGCTCCCAAGCGCCCTGAGTTTCTGGCTGTGCTCCTGAGCCGGGTGCCCGCGCCCACCGCGTGGAGAATGCGCTGCGCTCGGCCTCCCCAGACCGCGATCCCCAGGGGGCGCTCCCCTTAGGACCTCGCAGCTCCCTCTCTCCCGGTAGACCACCGCCGGCTGCTCCTTCCCAGCTACCCCTGCCCGAAGTCACATCCCACCCTCGCCCCCAGACGCCCCCTCCCCAGGAAATCCTCCCTGCTCCCCCGCCGGGCTCTCTCTCGGTCGTCCCCTCCGAGGATGCCACTTCCCGGCGCCTCTTCCACAGCTTTCCTTACCCTGGCCCCCTGCCCGCCGCCACTCACCGTCCTCCAGCCCGACTCCCCTCCCCGGAGTTCTCTCCCAAGGAGATCCCTATCCCGGCGGCCCTTTCCCGCCGCCTCCTCCCGGAGTCGCCTTCCCAGCGCCCCTTTCCCGGGCGCCCCTAACCAGACAACCCCTACGCGATCCCCTCCCCCGGGCTTTGCGTCCGCCCGCCCTCGGAGGAGCAGCCCCCGGCGGCTCGCCCTCCCGCCACTGCGTGCGCGGCTACCTGGATCTCGTGGATTCGGCTGAAACCGTCCTTGCAGAAAAACTCCACCAGGTTGGCGAGGGTTCGCGGCCCCGGCATGGCCGCGAGACTCCGGGGCCCCTCGGCCCTGTCTCCGGCCCGTGGCGCCCCGGGTCGCCCAGATCCTTTGTCCTGGGCCCGCGCCCCCAATAGGAGCCCAGAGCCCAGAAGCCTGCCCCGCCCGGGCGCAGGGCAGCGAGTAGCTTTCAGGATCCGCGCCAGCAGAGCCATTGCGGTCCTTTGCATTGGTGTGCTTGTTTAAGCAGCTTCTCGGTTTCGGGGATTGCCCTTTGGGGTTGCTCTTTCCCGGGTTTTAACTTGCTGGAGCAGAGCTTCTTCGAACTCATGCCGTCTGGGCATCAGTTTACATAGATCATTATTAAAGGCTCCCTCCCTTAGGACGGAAAAAAAAAAAAAAAGTCTGTGATTAGACTGCGAGAGAATGAGGCTATTTTTTTTTTTCTTCACATTAGATTAATTCAGCATTTAAGCGTTCTTCGAAACCACAAAGTTTTAAGGTCCAGCCCACTTCCAGCCATGGCCAACAAAAGAGAGAGGGAGAGAGAAATCGACTAGGATTTTAAAAACAATTTTCTTCTTTTAAAATTACTTATAGAAAGTAAAATAAAGAAATCTCCTTCGTCTTCTTTTGTGTTTTATAAAGATTTTTATGATTTTAAGTTATAGTGTTGAAATTCCACATTTAAAAATGAGAATTTGTGTTAGGGGCGAATTTGCACCCTGTTATTATTTTACCGCGTGCCCTAGATGATAATAAGGATCATTTATGATGGCTTCTTTGGAACTTGACAATTCTTCCCCCCACCCCTTGCAGTGTTAGGGATGGAAACCAGGCTTTAAGCGTGCTACCTAAGGGGTCTGTCACTGAGCCCTACCCCCAGTCCTGGGTTCATCATTTTGATTCTGGCCACCTTTTGAAGCAGGGAGGAAGAATGTGAGGGTAGTGACTGCTGCAAATTGTAGGCATTCCCTGGGCTCTCACAGGCCCTGGAGAAGTGAAAACACTTCTGTGGGTAGGCAGGGGAGTGGAATTTGCCAACATAGGGTCGGAGCTCAGTGCCTCTGCAAAAAAGGAAGTGCTTCCCCAAAGGAGGGACTTGGCATAGCAAAGACTAGGAAGGGAGCCCAGATCCTGTTAGCAGCTTAACCACTTATCCTGGAAACCCAGCACATTATTTTGAAGATTCCAGAGTTTGTACTCATGTATATAAAGGTAAATTTTTTTTAATTTTTTAAACTTTTTAAAAAACTCTATAAATATTGTTACTAAACGAAAATAGTAGTTATACCTTTACAATTCTGTTAAATCTATATTGTGTTTGAATAATTATAAGTTATCATGTAAGTGACAAAAAAAAAACCACCATAAACTGGACATGTGACCTGTAATCAATCTAAACTACTGGGAAAGCTGAGGCAGGAGGAGTGCAAGTTTGAGACCAAGGCCCTGTTTCAAAATAAAAAATAGAAAGGACCGGGGATGAAGTTCAGTACCAAGATAACAATAATAATAAATACAGGTACAGAAATACGAGACAGATTACTGTCACAAACCTGGAGCTGAACATGACTGGAATTCATGGGAAGGATGACACAGAAGAAAGCTTTCTTTAAGGAAGCAACATTCAGCAGGAATGAAGAGAGGGTCTTTCAGTAGAAGTGAGGGCAATGTGGCTAGAAGACAAGGTATGAAGAAGGGCACAGTAACCTTGCAGAGTTACTGGTCCTCAGGATTAACAAGATCATTAAAGGACCATGAGTGTAGAAGTCGATTCAGTCCATCCTGGACCAGAAATGGTTAAATCTCTGTATATAATTCAGAAACTCTATATAAGATAATTCAAAATGGTGAAATCTCTATATAAGATAGTGTATATACAGATAAATCTCTATATTAAATATTTCGAGTTAGAGGGCTGGGAGTGTAGCTCAGTGGGAATGCTTAGAAGGCACAAGGCCCTGGGTTCAATTCCTAATGCTAAAAACCATGAAGATACATAGATATATAGATAGATAGATAAAGAGATTTTTTTTATTTGTTGATGAACCTTTATTTTATTTATTTATATGCAGTGCTGAGAATCGAACCCAATGCCTCACACATGCCAAGCAAGTGCTCTACCACTGAGCCACAGCTCCAGCCCCCCATGAAGATTTTAAAAATTAAAAAAAAGCAAAATGTAGTTAGTCGTCTTTTGAGGCCAATTAAGAAAAAGAACTATAGTAAAAAAAGAGAAGAAGGTAGAAGAAAGTAAAAGAATATAGTAGTTCCTTATCCACCCTCAGTAGATGTCTGAAACCTTGACCATAAAGAGACCTATCTATATGTGTTTTTTTCCCATACATACATGTCTATCATAAAGTTTAATTTATGAATTAGGCACAACAACTAATAATAAAATAGAAAAATTATAACAATATATTGCTTTTAAACTATAATAAAAGTTGTTTAAAACTTAGGAGTTGTTTATTTCTGGATATTTCCATTTAATAGTTTTGGATCACAGTTGACCAGTGCTATCGCTCAGATGTTGTTTGTTTCTCAAGGGTCCATGTGTCAGAAGCTTGGTTCTCAGTGTGGCTTCCATTAAGAGGTGGTAGAATCATCATAAGGTGGAGCCTAGTGGGAAATCTAGATCACTGCCCTCAATGTAGATCTCCCAGGACCCTGGAAGATTGGTCCTTCCCCAGTCTCTCTGGCTTCCTGTCTCAAAATGTGATCTCCCTTTCTCACATGCTCTCCCTCCAGGATGCCATCTGTTTGAGGTGACACAGCTTCAAGGGCCTTTGCCAGAGTCAATGACGTACTGTTTAGACTTCCCATCTCCAAAACTGTGAGTCAAAGAAACCTCTTTTCTTAAGGGCATGGTGGCAAATACCTGTAATCCCAGCAGCTCAGGAGGCTGAGACAGGAGGATCACAGGTTGAAAACCAGCCTCAGCAACTTCACAAGGCCCTGTCTCAAAATAAAAATAAATTAATTAATTAAAAGGGCTGGGGATGTGGCTCAGTGGTAAAGTACCTCTGGGTTCAATCTCTGATAGCAATAAATAAATAATAAACACTTTTTTTCTTTATAAAGTATCCATCCTTCCAGATATTTTGTTATATCAATGGAAAACAAACTTATATGCACAGGTATGTGAAATCATGGAAAGCAAAACCACTATGGATGAGAGGGTATTCTTGTATCATTTCATTGCTAATTATTACTAATGGAAAAATATGAATCCAGAAATAGAATAAATTCTGTCTGGGAGAATTTCTTTTCTTCTTTTTTTTTTTTTTAAAAAAGAGAGTGAAAGAGAATTTTTTTTTTTTTTTTTTAGTTCTCGGCAGACACAACATCTTTGTTGGTATGTGGTGCTGAGGATCGAACCCGGGCCGCACGCATGCCAGGCGAGCGCGCTACCGCTTGAGCCACATCCCCAGCCCGGAGAATTTCTTATTCCAACTATTTATTTTTTAGTTCTCGGCGGACACAACATCTTTGTTGGTATGTGGTGCTGAGGATCGAACCCGGGCCGCAGGCATGCCAGGCGAGCGCGCTACCGCTTGAGCCACATCCCCAGCCCGGAGAATTTCTTATTCCAACCAAAAAATTAACTGTTACTTTGGTCTCTGTCCAGGTTTTCTGTAATGACATTGTCTTTATAATAAAAAAAAAATAGCTTTTAAAAAAGTAAGCCAGGAGCAGTGGCACACCTGTAATACCAGCAGCTCGGGAGGCTGAGGCAGGAGGATCATGAGTTCAAAGCCAGCTTCAGCAAAAGTGAGGTGCTAAGCAATTCAGTGAGACCTGCCTCTAAACAGAAATACAAAATAGAGCTGGGGATGTGGCTCAGTGGTTGAGTGCACTTGAGTTCAATCCCCAGTACCAAAACAAATAATAATAATAATATAGGAAGAAATAAAAGTAAGTGGGAATCATAATTGTGGAGGGATTCAATGAAATGTTTTAAGCCCCTCTTTTTTTTTTCTTTGTGGTGCTGGGGATGGAACCCAGGGCCTTGTACATGCAAGGCAAGCATTCTACCAACTGAGCTATATCTCCAGCCCCTGTTTTTTGTTTAAACAGGGTCTCACTATATTGCCTAGACTGGCCTCCAACTACTGGACTCAAGGGATTCTCCTATTCAGCCTTCCAAGTAGCTGGGACTACATACAGGTGCAGCCTACCAGTTTAGAAATCTTAAACATAAACCAATAAGCCCAGCTACTTGGGAGGTTGGCAGGAGAATAGCAAGTTTCAGGACAGCCCAGGCAACCTAGCAAGACTGTCTAAAAAACCAAAAAGGGCTGGGGCTGTAACTCAGTGGTAGATTATCCTAAGCTCAATCCTCAATGCTTCCAAAAGAAAAAAGAAATCTTAAACCTAAGTGGAAAAAAAAAACATAATAATAACTTTGAGCAAGAGAAACAGATGCAGGCCTCTGATTTCAAGTAGACATGGGAGCCCCATTTGTTCCTGTCTGAATGAAGCCCAGAGAGGTTTTGTACAGATGTTTTCCCTCAAGAAAACCAACTTGTTGAGAGTACATAGAGGAACAACAATTGCCCTTCCAGCAGAAAAGGGAGAATAATGTGTCCTCTAAAAGTTAAACAAATAAACTGTAGGTTCAATAACTAGTCATGTGGGGAAGTAAACCCAGGAGATAGTCATGAACACCTCTCAGAACTCGGATTCAGGTCACCACCACAGATCTCCAGGAGGCAGAATGGGACTGAGGGGTGTTAGGTAAGCAAAGCCTGAGGAACTATATTTGGGGATAGAATAGGGATGACCAAACTGGATCTCTGAAACGGGAACTACTATACTAGTCATTCTAGAAAGCAGGGCTCTGAGTTCTGAACCTGGCCTTGCTGCTCACAGTGGGGCAAGAATGATTCACCAGGATTCCCTTTGGTCTGCATCAAATTCTCTCACGCAACTGTCTGGGCTCCGATTCCATGCACTGACAGGTTTCAGTCTAAGAATTAATGGTGTAAAAGAGAAAAACAATGGCGTGGTCTTGTTACTTCCCCCAGACCCCTCAATAAAAAGG